TAAGGCCTTCAGAAAGGGGCGCGCCCGCCCGCTCAGCCCAGCTCAGCCGGCTGTGTGAGGACAGGACATCCCCCTTCCCCAGCGCTCTCTCCCCTTCTCCACACAGCGCTCCGCCGCCCGAGGAAGGGGCTGCGCCGCCCTTCCCTCAGGCGCCCTGCGGGACGGGGGGTCCCCTCTCCTGGGCCGCCCCTCTCCTGCGCGACAGGGGCCTCCCCGCCGGCTCCACAGGTGATGGGCAGCGGTGTGCTCGCTCCCGCGCCGGGGCTGCGGCGTGCCCGGGCCTCTCCCCCCGAGAACGGATCCTCGGGTGCCCTGGGCTGCCTGGGCAGGTGTGCCCTCCCGGGGCCGGGGTAGCCCACCTGGAGCAGCTGAAGGACTTGGAGGGAGGTGTGGAGTGGAAGGGTCGGCCCCCTGAGGTTTAGCCCAGGGGGATAAGTCAGTGTGGAGGGCCCTTGTGGGGCCGGGAAGATTCCCCGTGGGAGGATGATTGAGAGGGTTCAGTCTTCCTCTAGCCCGTTCTTTGTACCAGGATTATCCCAGACAGTTATTCCTGCCTCTGTCACTTTCCGTGTGGACATGCTCCATTCGTGGTGTAAAGCCATGGGAGTCATGTGTGCCCAGTCCAGTAATTGCTGTGTTCATCATGATGTGTCCGTGTTATTGTGTGCAGCCCAAAAGAAAGTGTCGGAGTTTGTGGGCTGCAGCCTACTTTGTGGTGTGTGTGTGTTCTCCCAGATCTGATGCAGGCTTGGAAGACTTGTCCACCTCAAACCAGAGGGTTGTTGTCCCGTGTACCCTTGTGGAGTCATATCTTTACATGTCTAATAAAGTTTTGTGAGCTTGCTCTCATCCCAACACCTGTTTCAAGGCTGATACATCAATATTACACTACAAAATGTGACTTCCCTGCCCTCCCACACACACTGTAGCCCACTTCTTGCTGCTGGAGGACATCCACAAGAAAGTGCTTGACCTGTGGTTATGTGAAGAGCTCTGTTCAGTGTTTCTTGTGAATATGTCAGTATCTTGTGGCGTAAGGTGCACCCTGGGCAATAATCAGGAGCCAACGACTTTTGTCTTCCAGCAGATCTCTTAACTCTCCTCATTTCTCTCATCCATGGAGCTAAGAAGGTAACACAACTGGGAAAGTCTTCACCGTGTTTTTAGTAACATTGAAGTTATCTCTAAGTTGTTTCCATCTAATCACACAAGCAGGGTGCTTTCAGGTGTTCTGAGACCTAAGAGCATTTCTAGTACTTGCTTACTTTGCTGGATTTCAAATATATCTTTAACACTGTTGTGAATATTTGACACATGATGATGATTAGTTAAGAGCCGAGAGTTACAGAGGGTGAGTATGCAGCACAACAAAGAAAGAATCTAAGAAAAAGGTTTTTAATTTGCCTTAAATTGTCGAGTACTTATTTGAGAAGGGTATAGTTGATGTCTGTAACCATGCTGCCTTTTAGGTTGTGTTGATTGGTTGTTTTTTTTTTAAATATTTTCATCTGAAAGCAAGGCAGAAGGGAGTGGGGTCTTCATTTGGTGGTATGGGGGGTGCACCAGGTTCTAGTAGAGGCAAAACACCTAGGTGCTAAATTCTGTTGCTGAAATGGTTGCTATTTGTGCCCTCTTTCTGCATGGTTTAGAATTTTTGATGACAGACAGGTTTTCATTCACAGCAGTTGTGCATAGCACAGCCTCTTCATGAAGAGATTATTTTGTTGTTGTTGAGAAGTTCCTGATGTCACTTTGGCTCTTAACTGTGAGTGAATCAGGTACAGTTCCTGTGGTGAGGTCAAACTGAACAAGAGTAGTAGTAGAAAGAAACTACTTTTCAACAAGTAGTTGAAAAAGTGGTGAGTTTCTTGAGTTTCTTCATAGAGCTAGTCAGCTGTGCCTGTAAGAATGAAAACTTGTTTTTCTTTTAGGTGCTGTTTTGCAGTACTTAATAGTTGATACACCATTGTTGTTTTTTTTTTTTTGTGACAGATTATGTGTGACTATTAGATAATTACGTTTCTCAGCAGGGAGGTGTTTACCAGTAAATTAAGTTATTGGTTTATCCTGACTTCTGTTTACTGTTTATTTTGTTCTGAATTATGCCACTCATATTGGATATTTTCAGTCCCCTACATGATGCTGAAATGGAGGATGAAGGATTGGACTGTTTATACAGCAGAAGTGAAGTGCTGTAGCCTAGGATTTTTTTTAATTGAGTGCTACTTTGATCTATCAGTGGCTGCTAGTCAATTTGATTTTTTTTTTTCCCTTTTATTGTAATGAAATGTTATAGTAGAAGTCATGAAAATGTGGTGTTATAAAGAAGAGTAAAAAGTATCAAGATGAAATCCCCTCAAATCCTTGGCGGGATTAGTGGTTTGTGCCTTTATTGGGGGAAAAAAAGTGTAGATTTCCTTTTGATATTTTTCTCCTGTTTTCATAGGAGAAATATTAGTATCAAAGAATGACAACAACTGCTGCACCAAGTGGATGCATTGTGCAAGAGGTCATTATTTACAGCTACCAACTTTATTGAACTCTTCCTTACAGTTCATCCTTATTTGTAAGTTTATATTTTTTTTGCAAAGTGATGGAAAGATACACAGCTGTGGAAATAGATTCTTCCAGATAATTTAGCGGAGCCGGGCACTCTCTTTAGCTCAGCTCTGCCTCGTTTTGTGATCTTCAAAAAGTCGATAAATGTTGCTCTGTTCTGGAGAATGAACTGGACAATCTGATGGAAAAGAGAATCTGTGTTACTAGATGGTAGCCTGAGGAAAACATTTAAAAAAAGAAAAAAACCCAAGGAAAAAATGCTGTTGAAGTTAAGAGGTTGTCTAGGGGATCTTTGGAGGCCTCCAAGGAAGCGTTGTGCTGGAGGGTATGCAGAGCTCGGGGCAGGGCAAGGAAGGTGAGGCAAGCTGAAGCCCCCTTCTCTGTGCCATCTCGCTGGGTATGCTGAGCTAGGTTGGTAAAGGGTATGGCTTGTGGGTAACAGCACTCCGTAAGGATGTATTCCTGATACTTTGGAAGCAGTGTTAACAAGGATTAAGGATGCTGGAAAATGGAGGCTTATGGGAAACTTCACTTTCTGAACAGAGAAAGCTTGTTTCTTTTTGTTTTTTTTAACATTGTGGCTTTGACAGACCTTTAATCTCTTGCAGTCTGTTAGAAGCGGAAAAACAACTTAGGTTTGATGTTTTGTGTGCCATCGGCTGAAGTTGGGACCATCATGAACATAACCAAGGGTGGACTGGTGCTGTTTTCAGCTAATTCCAATTCGTCGTGCATGGAGCTGTCAAAGAGGATTGCTGAGTAAGTGAAATCCTGCGGGGCAGCTTCCGATCTTGGTGATAGTATTGCTGAGACCGATTTCTCTGTTTAAGGAAAATCAGGAAAACTGCCACGGTTGGCAAGAACATGTAGTGTACTGTATGGGGCAGCGTATTTCAACAGATCAATAACACAGAAAATAATTTGTGTTTAGGCTGTGTGGTGGCAGGTTGTGACTGGCTGCAGTGTGTTGTGGAGAACACGTGGAAAATTAGTGTTTGTACGGTGTGAAATGGTCACAGCAGGAGTTTTTATCGTTTTAGTATTCTTGTAGCAGAGTTTTTTTTGTTTTCTATAGAGAAGAATGATTTAAAAGTGGTCTCTTAAGTGTTGTACATGTTTATGTTGCCGTGTATATATACAGGGCAATATACATAAAATATATACAGGAACACATCCTAAAAATTACAAGTTGTTACGTAATTTAGTAATCAAGCTGCTTTTTTTTTTCCTCCATTGCTCGTTCTTCTGAGTTTGACTTGAAAATGAGTTCAGCTTAGCCTGCGGCACAGCTGCTGGAAATCTAGATGCTTTGTTAAGAGATTCCCAGTATAATTACTGGTTTTATGGTTGGAAGTTTTCTTTTCTTGGTTTTCTCCTGCAAAATATAGCCATTTCAGGAAATGTTGCATTGTGTGGGCTTTGTGTTTGTTTTGTCCTTCGTTTTCCCATATTGACTTTTTATTTTTTCCCACTCCTGCAGGCGCTTAGGAGTTGAGATGGGGAAGGTTCAGGTTTATCAGGAGCCAAACAGAGGTGAGCATTTAATTGTCAAAACTGGAAGCTTACCTGACTATGGTGTGCATGTACTGGCTACCGTTTTCTTACTCTGTTGAATTTTGCTGTTGCAAATGTTACATGTTTCTCTTCTTGGCAGAAACAAGAGTGCAGATTCAGGAGTCTGTGAGAGGAAAGGATGTATTTATCATTCAAACGGTTTCAAAGTGAGTAACTAAAGACACTGTGCTAGCATTTTGACACGGGCTGTCCATAGGAACGCTTCTGTTTTAATTTTCCTTTGCATTCTATGTATGTGGTACAGTGCAACAAGCTTAGATTAACTAGGTAGAGGCTTCTCTTTGTGATTCTTTTGGGTTCTTCGTTTTTTTTTTTTTCTGATATGTGCACAGAGAAGACATCAGTATAAGCTAACCTCTGTGATTTTCATTTTCAGTGAATATGTCAATGAAACTTTCCCTGGGGTCTCTGCATTCTTTTGCTTATGTCATTCTCTTTAAATTATTCCCTTTTCAGCTACCCTGTCTCCAGCACTGTTACAAAGCTCTAAATGTAGGAGGAATGTTTCCTAGGCAATGTGTCCCGTGATTCAGAAGACAACTTTTATTTTTTATGTGAAAAGAACTTTATAATGCTAAGACATTTTTTCTAATGGCAACAGAAATAGGTGGTCTCTTAGTTCGTGACCGATTCTCATCTGAAAAATACCTTTTCAATGTCTTCATTTATGGAAGAAAATAGCTGGTAATTGTTAAATATTTAACCTGCTGTTGGTTTTAACGGTAGAGAAGTATGTTGTAAAGTCTGAAAGTGTTTTTTTTTTAAAAAAAAAAGCTTATCTGTATTGAAAAATTTAACTATTTTGTTTTGTGCAGAATAGAAAGAGATGTTGGAGGTAAATTACGGACTACTTTGTTACAGCAACACGCTGTATTATTAAAAGCCTGAAAATGGTATAACAAAGACTGCTGAATTGCCCAAAACAGCCAACTGGAAAAAAAAAAAGTAAACTGTTATTCTAGTGAAGGATTAAAATGCTGGGTCCAGGGCATTTGTCATCCTGAGATGCACAGCTGGATTCTTAGGGAAAATCGCTCAGTCACCATACTCTCTATTCCCCTGGAGTAAAATCTCTGGAGTGGGTTAAATGCAGGATTTTAAATCTCTGGATATTGTCTTAACTGCAGGATTTTTGTGCATGAGATACAGAACTAGATGCTTCTTGTTCCAGAGATGTGAATACTACGATCATGGAACTCCTGATCATGGTGTATGCTTGTAAAACCTCCTGTGCCAAAAGCATTATTGGAGTGATTCCCTACTTCCCGTACAGCAAACAGTGCAAGATGAGGAAAAGGGGCTCCATCGTGTCTAAACTACTGGCTTCAATGATGTGCAAAGCTGGTAAGAATGCAGGTTGTTATGAAATAATCAGGGCAATGGGGGCTCCTGCTGTCAGCTTTCAGGTTTAGAGAGGCTGGTGCACAAGTTGGGATTCTGTTTGAAAATAACTGCCAAGTTTTTCGTGAGTTCAAAACCCAGATACGAAAGGAGAACGTAATTAGAAATGTTTCCAAATGGTGAGTTCATAAAAAATCCAAATTTGTAACAGCCATTTTACATTGTGTCCTGCCAAGCTGGTAAAACGAGTTTGCTGGACTCTGCTGCTTTGGGCTGTGGTACCCATCCCTCATAATGCTGTTCTTTGCCTTTCTGACACCCAGACATTTGTGCTTTGTCATTTCTAGCTTGTTTTTATCTGTAGGATGAACGTGCTTTATAGCTGTCCTTTACATTTGAGATGATGTGGGAGAGTGAGGTTACTAATTTTCACAGCCTTCAACACCTTTTCTGCTCCTTTCCTTTTGCTCCTGCCCCTGGGAAAAATGGCCAGTTACAATGAGCACAGTGTCATCTGGTTTCTTGTTTTGAGAAGATGATTAAGATTTGGGCCCCTTTTTCAGGAGTCCAGAGCTTTAATGCCAGCTGTGCCAGGGTCTTGCTATGTGGCATAGGACAGTTTATCTTATTAGTGCTTCCATTTTGTCACGTGTCGAATGGAGAAGGATCTTACCTGCCTCAGTGTGGCACTACTGAGTCAATTATGGAGCGTTCTGAGGTTCTTTTAAAAAGGACACTGTAGAAATCTTGAAACATGGTGTACTTAAGAGGGACGTAGTTAATATTCTATGTACTTTCACTAAGTATAGTTTTCTTGTTCTGATGCAGCTTAGGGATTTTGTTCTGGAGAAACTTCTGTGAAACTTACTAGAGAAATAAAGAGCGTGTCTGTTTTTCTCTCTTACTTTTCTTGATGTGCTTGTCTGTATGTCTTTTTTGTTCTTTTTTTTTTTGCAAGGACTAACTCATCTTATTACCATGGATTTACATCAGAAGGAAATACAGGGCTTCTTCAATATTCCAGTTGATAACTTGAGAGCGTCTCCATTTTTATTACAGTACATCCAAGAAGAGGTGAGAAAGGCCTGCTGTTAGAGTTGGTTTTTTTAAATTATTTTTCATCATGTCTCAAGGCTTCTGAAAGAAATTCCTCTGAAAAGACTAACTCTTCAAATGGTATTTTGAAGGGGAAAAGGTCACGTTGGGCAGGAAGCGGTGTTGGGGCAGTTGATTCTTTTCTTGCCCACAGCTTAAGTTGTGCTTTCATGAAGAGCTGGCATTTTGTTGTCCATGCAGCAATGCTGTTCTCTCATCTTAGGTATATTCCCCTAATCAGTATTAAAAAAAAATAAGGATTTTCTTGCTCTTGATATCCTCTTCCTTTCCTATTTCCAGTTTTCTTGATGTTTATAGGATGGACTGCTTGGTAGGTGTAACTTATATCATACTATGAAAACACTTTGGAAGTTTAAGTTGTAAACTATGAGAAAGCCTATTGGTCATACTCTGAAAGTAAACCAGATGAGTTCTTGTGTGGAAATCTTCACCTGCTGTTTGTTCAGCGTGTCTTGACTTGAGGAGCTTAATTTCTGATGTTCTGTGTGCCCGTTTCTCCATCTCACTTTTATAAGTGCTTTGAGAAGTGCTGCTGGTAGATTCATGTATGCAAATTGTGCAAATGATAATTGTAGGTATAAGATGCATATTATGCCTCTGACTAATGATAATTTGGGATAAAGCAAATGCTTTCTTCCTGGTGAGAGAAAATGTTTGGCTCACTCTTACTTTTGAATCCAAGGTATTTCTTTTAGTAGAGATATGAATGCCTCAATTAAAAAAAAAAACCACAAAAACAAAACAAAACCCACCACTGGCAAAAAAAAAAACAACAAACAAACCAAACAAAAACCTAAACAAACCCCAAACCAATCCAATATGATCTTGTTATGACAGTGTTAAAATCTGTTTGGGGAATCAGTTTCTGTTTGAATCTATTGTTGTCATTTCATTTAGTAATAGAGTCAAAGAGGATGGTAGAACAAAGCTCCAGATTCTGGCTTTGCCACATTCATCTTGTGTACCAGGAGGGAAGTATTGCATGTTATAAGCACTTAATAAGTTAAAAAAAAAAAAAGCAAAAAAACCCCACCTGAAAACCAAATATGCAGATACAAGACAAGTTGTGCCTTTATATGTTGCTTGAATTTGTGGATTATGGTCGGTAACAAGATCATGTTCCCAGTTTAGTCTTGAAGCACGTTTTGATCCATGAGCTGGTTTACAAAGACTCGTTGCAGCTTTGAGTCTGGCGCTGCTGTGCAGTGTATCGAGTGAGTAGAGATCTGCTGAAGTGTGTGTAGAGAGGTACTAAAAGATACTTTCAGTTTTTCTATTTCTTCATTCCTCTGCTCGTCGATGAGATGTCGTGCTGGAACTAGAGTTGACTTATGGGATCTATATTGGCAAGTACTTTCACCAGCCAGGTCATTTATGGTATCTTTTCTTAAAAGTTTCATCGAGTGCTGTTCAGGAAGAATTTAGTATTCCTCTCAGGTTCATGGTGGCAGCAGTTTGCGGTCTGTCCTGCCTTGTGAATTGCAAAGCATGAACAATGTTTCAAACAGGAGTTGTGGTGGGGTATATTGGGAAGCGTGAAATAGTCCAGCTTGATAAGAATGGAGGTCACTTAAAAAGCATTTAACTGAAAGTTAAGAGGATGGGGGCTTGTCGTTGTTCCCTGTTGGGAATTCATGCATAGATGTGAAGAGGATGACTTGGTGTTCTGGGATGAAGACGATCTAATCAGTGAAATTAATGTGGTAAACATGAATTTGGTGATTTTCCTTTGTCTGCTTAGCAGATGTTCAATACTTAGTGCCTTCTCTCTTCCCCATGTGCACGTGTTAATCTTGGATTAATGTAGCTGTTTGTGACAAGAAGTTGTTGACATCTTCCTGTCTTTTGAATGACATTTCTGGCTTTCTGACTTCACTTTTAAAAAGCTGAGAACAAATTTGATAATTTGGCAGGGGAAAAATGAGGCAATGGTGTTTGAACAAGATCAAAGCCTTTATTATGTCAAGTGACAGGCCCTGCCTTGTCCATACCTTCCGTCATGTTAATCTTTGCAGCCTGTTGTATAACTAAGTGTGTAAAAGACAGAACATGCTGAATTCCCAGGATCATAGGTGGAGTTAGTAGCATTGCAGATTATTAATGTTGCCTGACACGTGCTCAGAAAAGCTCTTGTTTTCAGTTGGTTGGGACTGTGCCCAAATTCAGAACTCGTTTTTTTCTTTCCCATGACTATTTCAAGTAGAGTGCTTTTGGAAGTGTCCAGTGAGTGTGGTTAGTATGTTTGAGGACAGGGTTGTGGAAGAACTTTTCTTGCTGAAGTTGAAAAGAAAAAACAAGTATTTCTGTGCTCTGGAACTGGTACTTGACAGCAAGGTGATGAACTGCTTGTCAGAGTATCATCCCCTCAAAATTGTGAGATCACAACTGTAACAAATCAATTTGCAGGTATTTAGTAAAGAGTCTTCTGTCCCTTAATGCTGGGATTCTGAGGGTTGGAGCTGCTCTGTAGGACTTTGCTTGCTGTTACAGCTGAGAGTGGCTGTGGAGTATCGTGGCGACTGATGGATGGACAGACAGGTTCTCTGTGGCAGACAGATTGCTCCAGAGCAGCACAGTGAAGGAAAATGCTGAATTTGCAAGGAAGGGGAGGAGATACTAGAGGGAACATAGATTGCTGTTGGAAAGGAGGACTGGAAGTGCAAATGGTGGAATGCTCGAGAAGTTACGGATAAGGAAAGAAGGGTCTGATGTGGAGTCACTTTGCAGAGAAATCTGAGAGACAGGGACTAAAATGCTGCCTAAATGGAGAGGAGGAGTCTGGAGTGAAAACGTGGTATGAGAACGGAGCAGGGCAGGGGCAGCTAACTCTGGAGCAGATGGAGCTTGTGGAGACTGACTGAGGTACCCCTCAGACCTTGGGATGAAACCCAGACTTCCTGGTGTTGGCAGCAGCATCCTCTAGTGCTCATCTGCGCAGAAGACAGTTTGCAGCAATATTGAACTGTGGCTCCAGAATCAGTGCAGTGGATGTGGAATTTTTACCCCTTTCGGTGGTCCGTCTAAAGAGTCAGTATGTGATGGAGAGGCGTTACTTTTTTTTCGGTGTACGCTGAAAAACCACCCTAAAACTAGGAAATAGGCGAAATACCTGAAAGACTGCCGTGTGCACGCACAAGACAGCTTAAATTAAACAGGAAACTTTAATTTTGATGGTTTCCTGTTTCTTTCAACACTTGACCTTGTAGCCCTGATGTTCTTCTAAAGCAGTTACTTTTGTGTAATCTGTAATATAACGTGATGTTTATGAAAGGTACGATTTTAAGTTAAAATCTGAATTTTCTAAATACCTGGTTTTACTGAGCTGTGAACTCCGATCGTGTACCATGGATTCTTGAGGTTGCTTTGTTATGTTAGGTAAAATGTTCGATGCTTAAAATTCTTCTGGCAAAATGAAAGTTCTCTGATTCTTACTGAGTTTAAATTTGTCTGAAGATATGAAGTAGACATTCCTATCTGTTATTTACTACAGATACCAGACTACAGGAATGCTGTAATTGTGGCCAAATCACCTGCGTCTGCAAAGAGGTGGGTAAGATCTGCTCTCTTGTGTTAGAGCAGGAAATCTCTATCGTGATTTTGTTCTTAGGATCAAGTGAAGGACAGATATCCCATAATTAGAAGATGCAGCCTTCAAATCCCTCCCCGTTTTGCTTTGTCAGATGTGTAGTTTTTACGTCATCGCTAAAATCATCATAAATCTAAGAGTGAGAAGCCACCCAAACAAACAAAAGGCTGAGGTAAATCGATAGAGTGCTTAGGATCAAGAAGGTATTTAATCATATTATATTTGTGTGCATTCACATTATCAAAATCCTGCTGTAAACAAAGAAAAAATGCTGGAAGTTTAACACCATTAATCCAAAGTAATTGCTTAGAACATGGTTGACGGGGTCCTAAGTCCAGCTGACTTACCATCTGGCGTGGTGAAACAGGATTTGATATGTGAGAAGATTGGAATTGGGAAGTCCTTGTTGGCTGAACAACTGCTACTGGTGGGTGAATCTCTTTAGGTGACTGTTCCTAAACTTTGGAATCACCCAGCTCTCAGCAGGTCGTCAGACTTGGATGGTGGTTTGAGATGCTGTACTTGACATGGTGACAAAACTAATAGTTTGTTGAGTAGTTATCTGGAATGTCATGTGGAGGAATTGTGGTACTCTGTAAGCAAGATTTTTGTTATTTTATATAGCAAGTGAGAAAGGCTTTAATTTGTACAGGTATAGTGAGGGGAACAACTTCTGTCGTCTTTGTTTTCCAGCAGTACTTTTCATGGGATTTCTTTTGGTTTGGCCAGTTATATCACACTTGCTTGTCTTTGTTTCTTTTACTTGGTGTGAGTACGACCTCTTGGGAGTAGGCAGACGCTTGTTGAAGTATTTTCATGCCAGTCTACACGTGCCTTTAACTGGTTAGCCAGAGAAGTTGCAGACATAACGGGTTTGTGTAGGAGAGGATCCCAGAGCTGTGGTGTTCAGCTGCTTCGTGCGTACCTGTGAGCCTTTAGGAGCAGCTTTTGAGGAGGTACATGGTGTTTGGGAAAGGGTGATCCGATGCTTCAGCCTAATCAAGGAAAACACTATTCAGATGAACGTCTGCTCGTGCAAGAGAACCTTTGTTTGATGAAGTTCAGAATGTTTCTCCGGTTTCTGAGCTGGCTGGAAAACGAATAACTCATTTTACTGTTCCTTTGAACTTTTTTCAGTTTAATGTTGCGTTTTAAAGTAATTATTATGATTTCATTGATAGGATTATGCCTTCTAAGTCATAACTCTTAAGATAAATATGTTTGGAATCATAATTTATCTGAAGTTAACCACTTGAAGAAATATCCTCACGGTATGATAACCACAGGGCAGAATATTCTTCATTTTTAATTAACTGAGCATCATGATGGGCAAGTCATTATCTGGAGTTGGAGTTGTTTGCATATGAAACAAAGCTTGAGCATGAAGGAGGTGATCCAGGCACAGGCCTTGGATGCTTATGTTAGGATCAGAGTGACTCACTCTGGACATGCCGGGCTCGCTTGGACCAGGAGACGGGATGACTGGCTTAGGCTAGATACCCAACTCTGGGGTGGCAGGGTAAGGTGGGGTGAACCTGCTGATTTTTACTTGCTGCTTCCAGCCTCTGGGATACAAGACCTGTCTGTGAAATTCCTGTTTTCCTGACTCGCTGCTTTCCCCACTCCCCCAGCTAACGTTACACTTCCTTACATGAGTTTCTAATTTTAGCCAAAGGAATTTTGTGTGGTGAAGCTTGTAAAAATCCAAGCTGTTTGATTTTGAAGAGTGGTTTGTCAGGCAAAACGATTGTCTGGATTCTCTTTTCCGTAGGATCTCTAAGATTATGTGTCAGAAGGCGAGGGATATTGTCCTATTTAGAGCACATTTTGCCAAAAATAAATAGGTAAACACTTGTTTTCTGTGTTCATATGAATATTTTTTTTTTTCCCCTATTAAATGTAGACAATCCAGACATCTAGGCTATTCGTGGTTACTGTTAGATGAGACCTGCTAAAGCATGGGATCTCAGGAATGCTGAAGGCTAGGAAATGTTTTTTTGACTGTTGGGCAAAACAGAAGGGAGTTATCACAATGATGTGACTTGCAGCATTTGTCCTGTTGCTTCAAGGCCAGTATGGATATGTTCAAGGTTATTCTGACTCTCATAAGCCTGCTGAAAAGATGCTGAGAGACAAGTGGTTTCCTCCATGTGTGTTCCTATAATTTTAGGATCATTCCCTTTTCCTTCTGAAACGTTAGAAATAAAGTGGAAATAGATTAGCATTGTAGATATCTGAATTATTTCAAGCTTAATGTATTTCTGTTTTTTCAACCCTTTCCCTGCAGGGCACAGTCCTTTGCTGAGCGCTTACGATTGGGAATTGCTGTGATTCATGGGGAAGCTCAAGATGCTGAGTCTGACATGGTGGATGGTCGACACTCACCACCTACAGCCAAAAACGTAGCTGCTATTCATCCCAGTTTGGAGATACCCAGTAAGTAAGTTTGTGTGTGAAAGTGATCACCTGTTGTCTCTTTATGGTTTTGGGAGATGGGACTGACAGTGAGGGACCGTCAAAAAGGAGTGGCTCTTTAGGGGGAAAGAGCATTACTTTTTTCTTGGGGAGAAAAAAAGATTCCTTTTTGAATGCCTTTTGTCCGTGGTTTTAGTGTGAGGTCTGTGCCCTGTGCAGGCAGGGCTGTGTCACTATAGCTAGTCAGAAGAGCCCCTAGCAGAGAGGCCCCACTCTTTTGCCATTTACTTTATCCTGTTGGAATTTTTCTGGGATACAGAGCTATAAGCTGGTCTGACACTGGTTTTATGTGTAGCCGTACGATGTCACGGGCCTTGACACAGTAAACTTGCTGAATGTGGGTGTGATCTATAGCTGCGTGAGCAAAACTTCATTGTGTGAGCCTAGCTTGGGTCTCAGTGGGGTGATTGAACTGGCTGTGTCTGCAAGCCGCTCTGTTCTCTCTACTAAAACTAAAAATTAATTGAACTGGTTAAGAATATGGGTTTAAATTAATGTAGTTAGTACCTTGACTAAGCTTAAAAAAATAATTTATGTTTTAAAATCCTTCTGTTTTTTCCCAGCGATGCTGTGATGGTTGAAATAGTTGTTGCTTCACTCTATAACGGTGGTGACCCATTTCCACACTTGAAGTAAATTGTGTAAATTTTCTTTTTCTCCTTTCTGCCCCTTTAAAAAAATTTGCCATTAATCAGTGCTGATTCCCAAGGAAAAACCACCCATCACAGTTGTCGGAGATGTAGGAGGAAGAATCGCTATCATCGTGGTGAGTGAGATGCCATAGCTTTTGGTAAATTATATTAAATGTGTTAAAGTTGCAGCAATCGAGTACATTTTCTGCTGTATCAGCAGCTAAACTTTGGTCGATGCTGGACTTTCCAAACTGCACTTTTGATCCCATGAGGCATTTTTCTGTGCACTTACTGAGGCTGACTCTGTGCACTATGAAGTGATCCACGCTGAAAAGCAGCGTTCGCACCCTGTTTCTGTGAATGGACTGGATAAATTTAAGTGCTTGCCTGAAGGTGAGGAGTTTTAGGTGGTGCTTGTACACCAGATGAGGGGAAAATCCCTGTGTTTCTATTCCGTGAGTTTAGGAATGGCAGTGAAGTAGGTGTGATGCAGCCGTATGGTTTCTCTAAAGCTGAGTGTAATCCTGGGCTTGTCGTGGAAAAGGGCAGTTTTCTGTTAGTTTGGTTTTTGAAGAGTGTTAGTTGTCCTGGGTTTTCCCTCTTCCCCTCACAGAGCAATCCCTCTTCCCCTGATGTTGCAGCAGTTTTGGACACTCTGCTTTCCCACTCTTTCACACTTACCGTCCAGCTCAGATGTCTGGAGAACAACACTGATAAAAACATCCATTTTACTTTGGCTGTGAACTGTTACACTTGAAAAAGATGTAATGTCTGTCTGAGTGTGCTGGATTGGTCCAAGGACGTGCTGAATCTTCCCTGATTCCATCTTATTTTGACAGGATGACATCATAGATGACGTTGACAGCTTTCTTGCTGCAGCTGAGACCCTCAAGGAAAGGGGGGCTTACAAGATCTTTGTCATGGCCACGCATGGCCTGTTGTCCTCAGATGCTCCCAGGCTGATCGAGGAATCTGCAATCGATGAAGTAAGCCTGGATTCCGAATTGCTGATCAAATGATTTGGGGGTTTTTTAAGCAAGCAATTTGCTCCTGACTTGATGATTAAAATATACTGTCGTGAAGAATTCAGCCGGTAGGTTCCTGGGTTCAGGCTTTCCTGCCATGGGATTGTGTACTGGAATGTAAGCATCTACACATCCTTAAACCATAGCAGTGGGAAACTAGAGAAGCAGTGAGGTGATGGACTGGCAATATTAGCAGAATTTTCCCCTCAGTGTGGGGAATATTTTTGTAGTTTCCTTTAGACCCGCGTGGCAGAACGAAAGGGAGGAAGGACGGTGCCATTAGTATCCATGGATATGTGGACATTGCCTTCCGCAGTTCTGATAGGGGAGGTGGAAAACGTAACGGAGCGATGTCTTTCTGATCGTTTTTTCTTTCTGTAGGTGGTTGTGACAAACACAATTCCACATGAAATACAAAAACTCCAGTGCCCTAAAATCAAGACCGTGGATATCAGCATGATCCTGTCAGAAGCCATTCGCAGGATCCATAACGGCGAGTCCATGTCGTACCTGTTCAGAAATATCGGACTGGATGATTAATGCTTTTTCTTCTCAAAAACCACCCCGGGCCAAACTGGAAGAGAACAGATGATGAGCTGTGAAGCATCATGCTTACCTTAATATTTCTATTGAGCCACTTCTTGTTTTCTCTTGGTTTAACAAGGTAGAACAGTTTTTAAGAGCTTTTTTTTTCCCTTTGCAGGGTTGTTTTTTTTTTGGGGGGGGATGGGTGGGGAATAAACATTTTACAAAAAACTGTTCTAGTTGCTTTTAGGTTAGTTGCACTATATACATGAGGGGAAAAAAAACCCCACAAAACACTTGAGGCAAGAATTTGGCTTCTAAATTAAGCATTCCTTTTCCAAAGCTGCTTGCTACAAGTGCTTTAAAAGATAATAAAATGAAGTGACTGTATAATATTTGCATTTTAAAAGCCAAAAAGGTGGTACTGTTGTATGCAGTTAAGTGATTTTTGTAGGAGTGCTTTTATAGAAAAGCGTATGAAATATGCACCTGTATTTATTTTCTGCGACAAAGAATAAAGATTTGGTTTGTGTGAGCTTTCTAAAAACGTCCACATGTTAGTTACTTGTCTTCTAAAGCGTGTCCCCTTCAGAGTGATTCGCAGGTGTTGTGTTGCCGAAAGAAATCAGGAAGTGAATTGATTCTCTTACACTGATGAGTTGCTTTGGAATACGAACAGGATTCAGGCGTCTCGGCAGTAAGGTGAATAACGTGCATTTTACTCATTTTTCCCAGTGAAACACCTGCAGGCGAGGAGGAGAGGCTGCTTTTCCCCAAAACTGGTACCTGACTGTCATTTTTCAACCTGTCTTCTGCTGAGCAGTCTTGTAAAACACGAAATACAACCTTCCCCCGTCCGGTGCTATCATAAAGGTTTCTAGATGAGTTGTAGTTTGGCAGTTCTGGCACGCTTCCAGTGTCCTGCTTTGCTTCAGGGAACGTGGGAGGGAGCTAAGTCTATGGCTGGATGTCAGGGAACAACGGGGACTTGGGAATATTGTGGGGAGCAGAGGTTCCAGCTGTTAAAATCTGAATCAGCTCATCAGGTAAATGTTTTTTCAGAGGTTTCCAGCCTGGCCTGGCCGTATGGATGAGTTAAATACAGCCATAGGCAGAGCTTGTTCACGGTTGTTTTCCCAACCGTCCTTAGGTATGTGTGTGCAGAATGGCCTGTTGGCTGCTGCGCTTTGAGCTTCCAGTCTCGGAGACTTGAAGATTCCACCGGAATTCCACGTGGAATCACCACCACGGAGAAAACGGTGGTGGAGTGAACGAGCGTTTCGGGGTGGTTTGGTCTGATCTCTCCATCAGAACGTCCTGCAAACGAGCATAAGACTTCTGTCATGGCCAAAGCCAGAAGCGAACACTGGAGCGTTGACACCATTTCTCTCTTCTCAAGACACTTCTGAGGGTTTGGGGAGGTTGGTTTGCTTTTAAGGATAAAAGCTGTTATTTTTTTTTTTTCCTTCCCTTGTGTGTTGTGGCACAGCACTGGGAAGGATTGAGGCCTGGACTGTGGAAGACCCAGATATTGCTTAAAGATCTTGTTGGTGCGTTCAGCAAGTGAGACGGTGATTTTATTTAAGCACCTGCACATTTCTGCTCGGATAGCGCTGTTACTCATTCCGTGATCTTGGTTTTCATCAGTTTGTTTGATTTTTGCAGTCCTGTCCGGAGAGGCACGTTCTGTCTCTACGAAGTGACAAAAGGTGAGGCTGTAGCTGGTTGTACTTTAGTGACAGTTGGTTATTAAACAGTTCGGCGACGTTAATAGAAACACCGAGCTGACACATCAACGCTTCCATGGACTTTGGATGTGTTAATGCAGGTTGAATTCCGGCTGAGCAGGGAGGGAGAGCTCCAGCTCCTCTGGCAGTGTGCAGACCTGCTCCAGAGAGGAGAAACGCGCTGACACGGCTCGGTGACGGGCGCGTTAGTTGCAGTGTGTTTGTTTTATTAGTGGGACCTTGTGGCACATGGCTGGAAAGTGTGCTGCCACTGGGAAATCATGGAATCACAGAATGGTTCGGGTTGGAAGGGACCTCAAAGATCATACAGTTCACCCCCCCTGCCATGGGCAGGGACACCCTCCACTACACCAGGTTGCTCAAAGCCCCATCCAACCTGGCCTTGAACACTTCCAGGGATGGGGCAGCCACAGCTTCTCTGGGCAACCTGTTCCAGTGCCTCACCACCCTCAGAGTGAAAAATTTCTAAATCTGCCCTCTTTCAGTTTAAATCCATTGCCCCTTGTCCCATCACTATGTGCCCTTGTAAAAAGTCCCAGCCAGCCAAGCATCCAGTGCAGCGAACAGTGGGATTGTTAAATCCCCCAAACCATTCCATTCAAAGGTTCTTTCCTGATGCTCGTTTCCATGGTGGCCTTTGGAGGAACAACTTTGTCTCTTCCATGAGCGTTTCAGCTGCTCGGCCCTCACCGGCGTGCTGAGGCTCCGCGTAACTCCTGGGTTTGATCATCGCTTCAGCGTGTAGAAAGCCTTTCACTTTGCCTCGTTCCGTGCAGTGCAGTTACTGTATTGATCAGACTCAGGAATTTGGGAGCAAGTCGCCGTCGGAAGACTGGATTGCTGGTCCTTTGGCTCTTCGTGGTACTGGAGTGGTTGAAAGGGAGCAAAGCACGTGTGACTTAGACCGTGCCCTTTTCATCGCAGCAGAGCTACTTCATCTCCGTGTGCTTTTCCCAGATCACCAGAAATGCCAGCTGTTCTTGGAGATATTTCTCCAGGATCCTTCAAATATAACCCTGTGTTATTCATCAATGTCTACAGTAATTAACTCGACAGAATATCACCGCCTGGAGATGGGCAGTGGGGAAACTGGAAGGGGGAGGGAGGCCGCGGGCAGCCGGGCTGCCCACCCCAGTGCCTTCGGAAGCGGCGCTCCCGCTGCCGGCTTGTTTAATGATAAATGCCCTCAGGCTGCTCGTGAGTTACTGATTCAGTGATCGTGCGAGGCTGAGGATGAGGAAGGAGGCGGAGGAGTGATGGAGGGCAATTCCACTGCTGGATCCTTTACCCCCTCGCAGCGGTGGAGCGTTGCTGACCTCGTCGTCGTAGTGGTTTATTTTTCCTTAAACGTTGCGGTGGGAATATGGGTAAGGGCGTTTTCTCTTGTTCCCTTTCTGCTCCTTTTTTTTTTTTTTGGATAGATGTTTTTTTTCAGGACCAGCTTTTCTGCATGGAATGTTTTCAAAGCCTCTGTTTTCCTGTTGTAGTTTGTTACGTGTTTTGTGTGTCGTTTCTCATTCACTCCGTTCTCTTGTACAAACTCTCTGCCTCTTCACCTCCTATGGACTCCTGTAGCCGGAGAAGAAGGTGGAATTCACCGCAGCACAGACCTCTCCTTGGCCTCTGGTCTGCTGGCTGTGAGCAGCTCTGCCGCTTGCCTGTCAAAGGGTGTTGAGACAAATACCCTGTTGAACAGAAAAAGCCCTCAGCTACCCGCGGTCCCAGACAAAGGTTCTCCAAAGCCATCTATTCTGCCTTGCAGAAGAACCGTAGCCAAAACCGAGCCCTATTAGCCAACCTGTCTGCTTGGGATGGCAGTAGGACAGGCGCACCCGCCGTGCTTCCCCCTTTCGGGGTGCCTCCTTTGCTGTTCATGGCTCCAGGTACTTGGGGTGCAGCCACCGTTTCGTGTAATTAAGCTCAACTTTGCAGGGCTCCCATTAATTATCCAGAGTCTCCTGTCTCTTGGCTTCTTGTCTGGGAGACTTGGTTCTTGGTTTCTTGGTGTCTTGTCTGGGTTTGCAGGGAAAGGGTGCTCCACACTGATCTTTTCTCCTCCCAGGCTTCCTGCAGGGTGAACAGGAACACCATCAGTGGCTATTTCCTTGCTGGCAGAGACATGGCGTGGTGGCCAGTAAGTAGAGACACCTTGGGCAGCAGGGATATCCAGTGCCACTCTCCCTCCCACCAAATTCCCTCTTCTGCACCCCTGCTTTCTCCACCACCTGCCCGTGCTTTCCCCTGCCCTGTACAGGATTTGTGTCCTCGGAGGTGCGTTTCCCTTCTCATTGCACAAAGGGTGCTGTAGCCCACCTGGCTTGTTGGATCTCCTCATGGGCTGCTCAGAACTTGGGAAGGGGTCGTTGGAGTCAAACATCTGTCTCCACCAGCCCCGAGGGCTCCTAGTTGCTCCAACAAGACATGGGTGTCCCAAGTCTTTTTTTCTCTCTTCTTGTTTTGGTATGATCTTGGCAAACTGGTTGTAGGTCCTTCCCGTGTCTGGCACTGGCTGCTTGCACAAGGCCACCTCCTGGCAGGGTGTGTGGCCACCGTGGCAAACGCAGCAACATGTGGCTGCTCCTTATTCTCCTGAAGACAAGAAAGTCTGTCCAAAACACACCGGGGATGCCCGGATGGGCTGACTATGCAGGAGCGCTGGTTGCTGGGGCTCACGCCTACCTGGGTTTCAGTCTCTTGAGGGCTTTTCTTGCAAAATATGTGCATGCTCCTCATCTCACATGGTGTATCTTTGGCCACGCTTTGCTTCTAGAAGTGGCGGGGTGGTCTGCGCTCTGCTGCTCCCGTCCAGATGTTATTTCTGCCTCCTCCTCTTACTGAGTTATCTCCTTGGGGCTGTGCTGCTGGAGAAGGACTAAAGCTGGTCCAGCTGGCATGACTGCTGTGCCAAGCGGCAGGGAGCTGGTGGCTGGGCACCCCAGCACCTCCTCTGCTCCTCCGCAGATCGGCGCCTCTCTCTTCGCCAGCAGCGAAGGCTCGGGACTCTTCATCGGGCTGGCCGGGACCGGAGCTGCCGGGGGAATCGCTGTCACCGGCTTCGAGTGGAACGTAAGAAACGTGTCACGTTATTGAGAAAATGAGTTTCTTGAGCTGTGTGGCAGCAGATGGCCCATTTCACAGCAGCTTCGCACAACATCTTGAAAGGCTTGGGAGGAGTCGTGCGGGGGGTAATTAACGCAACCCTGCTAACTCAGCTTCTCCAGCTCATGTCTAGTGCACGTACAGCCAGTTTGGAGTCAACTCAAGCCCACGTACTCAGGGTAAAAGGGCACTTCAGTGCAGAGCTTCCTAGCCCAGCTGAGTAGGTCACCCATTCCCTGCTTCCCCACCTGCCGCTTCCAAAGTCCTCGGGTTCTGCAGTGAAAATAGGGCATTTGGCTTGCTTGGTGCTCAAGGAGTTAGTGGGGAAACGTCTGATCAGGAGCTGAAGGGCTGAGAGGAGCAGGATCCCGCTGGCAGGGGTGCGAGGGGCGTCTCCACCATGGCTTTGTGCCCCCGTGCCTGCCGTCTGAAGATGTTTGGGGATGGAAATGTGTACTTAAGGGTGAGACGATGCTGGGTCCAGAGTGATGGACGGGTCTAGCACCGCAGTCAATGTCGAGCTGTAGCAGGATCAGCGTTTTTTCCATCTGTGCCATGTTCCTTCTTCCCAACAGGCGACTTACGCTCTTCTGGCGCTGGCCTGGGTGTTTGTGCCAGTCTACATTTCATCTGGGGTACGTACAGCTGCCTGGAGCCTGCTGTGGGAACCATGGCCCTGGCCAGGTCCCCTGCT